GTTTCTAGAACCTCAAAACGAACGGCTTAGTGCATATATGTAGCATCTTTGGTCTGGTTCTGGGTCTACGGTTGGTTGCACATGTTCTTGTTTGATTGTTGCGCGGCCAATCGGGTGAACGTTGACCTAATCCGGGTCAGGGGTGTTACACAGCCGGTCTCTAACTAAGAGATCCCTAGGCATAAACCCATCGTTACAAGCGAAGTCGATCTTAGCTCAATCATATAAAAACACAGACTTGAACATGAAGCCCATCTTCGTTACGATAAGCATCGGCCGACCAAAATTAGTAACATCGCCACAAGGAGCAGCTAACAAACGCTAAAAGTTACCTCCCGCGATTATACATGCCAACAAATGATTAGACTGTAAATCGTCACTTAGTTCAAAGTACTCAAAGAAACCTAGCTCAGAAATGAGATGGACCAGAACAAGTATAAAAAAAAAATATAATTGCGAGAAAGACATTCAAGGCTGGGAAGAGCCGAAGTCATGGCAAGAACGCCACTTCAGCCCTCACCTTGCTAAGAAATAAGCCGAGCCGAACTGGTCAGCCGGGCTGATCTGCTCGGGACAGCCCGAGCAGGGCTAGAAGATGGAAGAGTTACGAAACGACAAGTTAAAAAGCAAAACCAGAATATCATTCAAAGCGTCCTACGGGCCGAGCAACATAAAATAAAGAGTTCAAAAAGCCCAAGGAAGGGCAGAAACAAAGTTTAAAGCCCCCATGGACAACTGGCAAAACAAACAAAAAAGTAATAATAAAGAGTAATTTACAGAAAAGAGAGAGAGGATCAGAGGAACGAGAGGCAGCTCCGAGTGGCCATGTCAGCACGATTGACAGACTCTGCAGAGACCTCGGGCAGGTCCAGTGCCCCGATTGAAAAGTCAGAGACTGTCGCATCTGCCAAGGCCTTCTCCGCAGCCGGGTGTTCCGCGCTGAGCCTCTCCATTTCCTCTGAAATGGTATTCTTGCCCACGGAGAGATCCTCTAGGAGCTGGAGGTTCGCATGCCACTCCTGCAGGTGAATCTCCGCTGTGATCTCCGCCTCCTTCCTCCTGAACTTATCCTTTACGCCCTCTAGCACCTCCCCGTACTTGGCAGCCATCTCCGTACGTGCTTCCTTCACCGCAGCAGCCACGGCCTCTTCCTTTGATGCAGCCACTCTGCGTACCTCCCGTTTAAGGAAGCTAATGAGGTCGTTGGCCGCCACCAGGTGCATCATAAAGTTGAGCTCTGCTCTCATGTCCACCTCGATATGGCGCCGAACTCTCTGCTCATACTCCAGCTTGCGCCTCTCCATGCGCGCCAAGCGTTGGTTCACCCCCTCCAGCCGGGCCCTCAGGTCGTCCACTTCTGCCAGCGAAGGGGTAAGTCGGAAGCGCAGCTCAGCTCATCAAGTATTATTATTTAAATACTTAATGGGCTGGGGGCAACTGTTGGAGCTGGATTCGTCACCGAATTCGGCCCACTTAGAAGCCAAGGTCAAAGCTTATTATTCGCAGAACGTTGACCAAAATCGATGGGCCTGCGGCCCAAACCCGAAGAATTAGATATTATTTCTCTTAAGGCTCATGTCAGCCCCGAAAGGGCCGAGTCAACATGCGCGAGGATAACGAGCTGAGATTGAGCTAGGAGCGAGTCAACAGAGCGGTTATCTCAGTCGTAGGAGCGAGATTCGCAGGAAAATGCTTAGATCGTGCCCGAGATACGCGGAACCGCACTAGGAACGTGGAGCTGGATCGAGGAGCTGAGCTGAGCTATAAAAAGAGGAAGTCCAAACAAATTTTGCCAACTTTTCATACACGCGAGAGCTTAACACTACATTTTCAGCTTGTAACACGTCTCAGACGAGACCTTATTGTATATTCGATTCATATCAATATAAATCCAACTCCACTCTACTCTTCTTTTAATCGTTGAGCTTATAGATATTTCTTAGGACTAAAGTTTCTTCTCTGAATTTACATACATATACTCAGCGCGGAATTTAGCTTCCACAGTAACCTAATTTTGTCTTCCCTTTCGTTCGTGTTTAATTTGTTTTACGGGGGTTATAAAATATTTAGAGACTGAAAATTGTTCAAATACAAATATTGGAATAGATTTATCAATATTTTGAAATATAGATATTTGAGTAGTAAAATATAAAAGAAAAGTTTCAAAAAATGCCACTTTTCAAGTGCCACTTTACAAAAATGCCACATTTTTACAATCTTTGCAAAACTGCCACTTTTTCAAAATTATTTATTCATTATATCATTTATGTTTGGGTTAATTATGTTGTATTAGGGTTCGGTTTTGAGGGTTTAAGGGGTTTTAGGGTTCTAAAGATTTTTTAGGGTTTAGAATTTTAAGATTTAGGCTCTAAAAAATCATAATT